TTGATTGCATCCAAGCACATTGTTTCGTGTATACAACATGACGTAACCGTAACTCTCCGGATTGCAAGACGCATACATACCCAGTGAAAAACTCACGCCCTGTGAAATTATGAAATTGTGTGATTCCGGTGCCTGGACTCACACACGACAAAGATCCGCCGTGTAGTCTTAACATATTTTTTGGTTGGGGGAAATGCTATTAACCCACCTATGAAGCCCTGCATGGTACACGATGTTTAGAAACAGCACCTGGTTACTCGTTTGAGGCTGAGTCGACCTAGGGGAGGCCCGGGGTCGGTTCAGAAAATAGTCACTGGTGGTGGCCATGATCGTGAATCGAACTCGGGTGACCGGGTCTGTAACACAGCGTGCTAAGCACTACACTACAACTCCCCATGTACAAAGACCTCCCGTATAGCCTTAACAAACTGTAGTGGCAAGTGCTGTTAGCGAGCACCTATGAAGGCTGGCACGGCACACGAGAGGGTGGGTGGTCTAACTCCACGCCCGGCTGCCTTTGTTTCCCTAGTGGCGATGTTTACACATCGCACCAGGTACTCATTTGAGGCTGAGTCGACCTAGGGGAGGCCTAGGACCGGTTCAGATAATCGTCACTGGTGTTTGCCGTGAGCGGGAATCCAACTCGGGTGGCCGGGTCAGTAACACAGCGCAGTGCTAACCACTACACTACCGCTCCCCATGTACACACACACTCACTCATGCACACAAACCTATTGGATCGTGAAACGTGCCCCCGAACGTTTGTTTTAAAATGCAGGGAAAACACAGCATGTCATAATCCGGGAAGTTCGGTATAACAATAATTACATACTATTATAAGGGGCACTTTTCATTTTTGAAATGCACAAGTCGTTGTCAATAACGTGGTTCGTTTTCTCCGTAGCCAACACAACGATGCCGTGTTAGGTTTTCTTCGGCTGAGATGTTTCGTTTAGATGTTTGTCGCATTCATTTCAGCAGGAAGGGCCGATGAGCTGAATAATTCGTGGGCGTTTCTGCGACGGTGCAGACCTCAGCCACAATCATGAGACCACGTACGGGGAGTCGTTTTTCTTCGCGAACGTCATCACCCTTAACCTCTCCACCACCCGACGGCGATCGTGACATGTACACAGACGTCATCATCATCATTATTATTATTACGAGTCACACGCGTGCCAAAGCATCGATCAGATTCTGGCCGCGTAAAGCTCCAGCTCCTCACCAAAGGTGCCTTGAGACTGAACTCACACCCCCCCACCCCCACCAAAACTCTCTCGTCGTGAGAGGTCACAAGGTCAGAATCCGATCGACGCGTTGGCTCGCAACGGTGAAGTCTGCGCGAACGTCACACTCGTTAGCGGAGGGGTTCACGATAGCAACCTTGGTCGCGAGACTCCCACCCGGCGGCCTCGACCGCAGCGAGCGACAAGAGAAGGGGTCACGTTTGTTTCCTCGTCACCAGTGAATTGTGGCGTGTGACTTTTTGAAAAGGGTAGAAATCTTGAGTGCGTCACGTAGCGTAGTTGGCTGGTTTAAGATGACAGCCGTAATGTCCATACCAACGTATTGGCGGTACACCGGTAGTGCGCCGTATATATATATTTTTTTAAAAGCTAAACATTTTTGCAGTAATTATTTATTTTGCCGCGATTCGCAATCCCGGTCACAACATCTTGCGAGGTGTTTGTTGTTGGTGGTGGTGGTGGTAGTGCGTCAAAAGCCGTTCTCGTGATGTCGAAGCAGTCGGAGGATGAATGTCAGTTAAACAAAAAATAATTTTAGACTTTCATGAGAATCTTTGTGCTATGCTGCACCGGTGTACCGCCAGCACGTCCGTATGTATGGCCATATTCAAAACGACGTTTCGGGGTATTAGCCCCCGCACGCAAAGTCGCATCAAGGGATAGGAATCCCACAGCACACCGGAGCCGCAGAGAGACATTTAAAAAGAGTTAACGAATCACCGCTCGTTACAAATTAACTCTCCTCCTTCTTCTCTCTCTCTCCCTCTCGAATGATTACCACCACCACCACCACCCCCGCCCCCAACGCGACTGTAACAGGCATGAGAAAATAACTCCGCTTTTACAAAGAAGAGAAAGAAAATAATTATTCTTAAAAAAAAGTATTTAACGACTATAACGATGGGAAGAGGATAGGCAGAGAGAAGTAAATCCATGATTGAGCCCAGCCGGACGAAACCGTCCCGACGATACTAATGCAACTACTTACCCTAAAACGCGATACTATATTTTTGCTTTAATTAAAAAAAAACAATTCTTATAAACAAATGTATATAGGGTAGGGTGGCGTAAGAGGCCAACAGTGCGGGTCAAAAGGCCTCAGTTGTCCTGGTTCTCGCGAAACCGATGTCGTCCGCCACCATGATCAGCTTGAGCTGCAGACTGCCGCTGGTTTGTCCACAATCGAGCTTTTTTTTGGGGGGTTAGATCACGCAAATATAAATGTGTCGTTAAACCCGCCACCACCCGACACAGCCAGTGCGTAAGGGTTTGTCACGTAAACAGAACGTGGCCAATCCGTTACTAGTACAGCACACCGGTGTGTTGGAGAGCCAAGCCACAACATTTACAATCTGAGTACGACGTTTCGCCGGTAATTACGACCAGCTTCATCAGACGGCATGCAAGACTGGTGGCGAAATCCTCCTATTTCGTTCCTTAAATAGAGGGATTACTGCAGCTCAGCAGGCGAGCCACGGTGTGAGCTCCAGGATAATAAAGGCCCCTCGCCCCAACCGAGTATATAATATTTAAGATTTGTCGTTGCACTCTTCATGAACGTCATTGTTCCCCGCAAGTGCTCGCGATTTAAAAGCAGCGAGGTTAAAGCTTTTTTTGTGTTGGGGGGGGGGGGTTAATATTTTTTTTAACATTTTCAGTACGTATTTTTTTGGTTAGAATGGCAGAAACATCTCATGAAAGAGACAGCGACGAGTGATTATTATTATAAAGAAATTATTGGAACACTTAAGATTATGAAAACACCCCTACCGTCCGCCCAGTTTTTGAACAGGAATCTACCCACAAGCACACGCGTTTCATGGACCCTCTAACACGCGTTTCATAGACCCCCTAACACGCGTTTCATGGACCCTCTAACACGCGTTTCATAGACCCCCTAACACACGTTTCATAGACCCCCTAACACGCGTTTCATAGACCCCTAACACACGTTTCATAGACCCCTAACACACGTTTCATAGACCCCTAACACACGTTTCATAGACCCCTAACACACGTTTCATAGCCCCCTAACACGCGTTTCATGGACCCCCTAACACGCGTTTCATGTACCCCCTAACAAGTGTTTCATGTACCCCCTAACACGTGTTTCATGGACCCCCCTAACACGCGTTACCATTCACACACACACACGTACGCGCCACACGTCCTGTAACATATACACACACACACAGAGGACATTCGATATTTCCAAACCCGGCTTGGCCGAGGCATAGCAACGGGCAAGTGCTGTCTGTGTGTGCCTGTTTAGGAGGGCCTATGGGGGTGGTGGTGCCCTGCAAGTAACGGGTGCTGCGTTTTAAAAACTGAGCCGACCTAGGGGTGTCCCACGGCATTTTACGATTAATGCTTTTGATGGCTGTCACGCATATATCAACTCACGTGTACGCACACAGGGGATATGACTCATAGTGCTGTTAGCGAGCACCTATGAAGGCCAGAACGGTACACGAGGGGGTGGGTGGCCAGCAACACGCCCGGCCGCCTTTGTCTCCCTCGTGGCGGAGACGACCTAGCGGGGGCGGCGGGGGTGCCCAGGACCGGCTGAGATAATCGCCACCGGTGCTGGGCCCTGCCTGTGCTCAGGAATCGAACCCGGGACGCCTGGTTCCGTAGGGCAGTGCAGTGCAGTGCACGAACTGTGACACTGCCTCTCCTCCCCCCCCCCCCCCCCCTCTCTATAACGACTTGCACACTCTCACTCACTCACACGCACGTCCAGGGACACTCAATGCCACACACGCACAGACGCGGGGGAAATTCACGCACGAACACGTGGCGGGAGAGAGTGTATTCCCATTTACTCGAGGTACACGGGTCCCGGAAAATAGAGAGGACAAACAAGAAATACAAAATAAAGGCACAAGCTTGACGTTCTCTTCCTCTCCCCCGAACCACCACCAACTTGTTCCGCCCTCCAGATAATCAATCTACATAATTATCCTACTTGCTGCACACCCCCCCACCCATCCTCTCTCTCTCTCTCTCCCTCCTCCCCCGCAAGAAAAGGTGCCGTCTGCTCTACCCCTCCCCTGCAAGGCGATGGTGGCTCTGAAGCGCACAACCTTTGAGTGATCCACCAACCCCTGCCTCCGAGCCGCTGGTTGACAGGCGCGCAGCCACACTACACCTGGGCATGAGCTAAGCCAATCCCCGAGGCCGAGGCAAGAGCACCGGGCAGCATTGATGATCCTGTTCCATTGTGGCTGGAGCCGGTGGTGGTGGTGGTGGTAAAAGTAGCGATTGTGGTGGTGGTGATGATGTGAGTGATGGTGGTGGTGGTGATGATGGTGGTGGTGGTGGTGGTAAAAGTAGCGATTGTGGTGGTGGTGATGATATGAGTGATGGTGGTGGTGGCATGTTTGTGGTGGTTAGTGGTGTTAGTCATGATGAGGATGGTTGTGAAGGGGATGATGTTGGGAGTTATGATGAGGATGGTTGTGATGGTGATGGTGTTGGTGGTTATGATGAAGATGGTTGTGATGGTGATGGTGTTGGCATGTTCCTGGTAGTGATAATGGTGATGGTAGTCATGGTGGTGGTGGTGTCTTGGTGCTCATTGTTTCACTGCTGGTTTTGGTGGTGATGGTGGTGATGTTGGTCGAGGTGGCAGTGTTGGTGATGGTGTTTGTGGTGGTGTTATTTGTGGTGGTGGTGGTGGTGTTGATGATGATGTTGTTCCTGGTGTTGGTGTTGGTGGTGCTTGTGGTGGTGTTGTCGTTGATGCTGATCTTGGTGGCGGTGCTGGTGGTGCTGTTTGTGGTGACGGTGGTCTAGGTGGTGTTGGCGGTGATGGTGTTTGTGGCAGTGGTGGTGTCGTTGATCTTGGTGGCGGCGGTGCTGGTGGTGGTGCGGGCGCCCCGTCTAGGCGTAGATCTCCTGCGTGGGAGCGATCTGGTAGTCTCCGTTGGTCTGCGGGGGTTTGTTGGGGTCCAGCGCGTAGCTGCCCGTGTCCTTTTTGCGGATGCGGTGGACGAGGAAGGCGACGAGCAGCGCCGCCATCACCACGCCGACCGCTCCCCCCGCGATCACCGCTGCCACACACAGAACGGGCGCACGGTACAGCAGGGGTATGGGGTACAGCACGTGACGCAGCAGAGGCGCAGGGCCACACGGTTCCGGTGTTGGCGGCATGGCGGTCGTGCTGCACGGTGCTGGGCGGACTCACCGGCCAGAACCTCCGTCTTCTCGAAGGGGCTGTCGTTCACCGCCGCGCTTGCGGTGGCCGGCATGTCGGGAGGTCCCCTTTGACCTTCCTTGACCTCTTCTTTGTGGACGGGGATGATGGGCGGTTCCTCCACCACGGCAGGCTGACCCATGCGGCCGTGAGCTTTGCCCACGTGGCCGCCCACGTGGCCGTCCACGGTGCTGCTGGAGCTGCCGGTGGTGGTGGTGGCGGTGGCGACGTCGCTCTCTGTGCTTCCGTCGACTGGGACCAGCGGTGGGCTCGGGGCGTCTGCAGCCTGGTGAGTGGGTGAGTGGGTGGGCGAGTGGTTGGGTGGGTGAGTGGATGGGTGGGTGGGCGAGTGGTTGGGTGGGTGGGTGAGTGGAGTGTGTGTGTGGATGGGTGGGTGGGTGAGTGGGTGAGTGTGTGTGTGGGGGGGGTTGGTGATTGTGTGCGTGTGTGTGAGATGGTGATTGAATGAGTGGGTGGGTGAGTGGGTGGGTGGGTGAGTGTGTAAACTCAGATTAATGAATTAATGCAAACCACTGCTTGTTAACCACAAACATCCAAAGGTTGCAAAACCCAAATAACAAACACTACATTATTGGGTTCTGCTGCTGCTGGCAGTGGTGCACAAGAACAATCAACAACAACACATTCATCAACAAAACTGTGCGTCGCCTTAAAATATAAAAACCCCTACATAACAGGTGACGTTTCGGCCATTGACCCGTCTTCATAGCACATAGATTGACGACTGAGCTAGTATGCTACGTGAAAGGGCCATTGCCCGGACGTCGCCTATGATATATGTTTACTTTTAATGCCACGGCGTTTACTAACCACACCCGTGCAGGTGTGCACGTGGCTGCGTGCAGGTGCACACCTGTATTGGTGCGTATGCAATCGCACGCAATTACGCAGGTGTGTGTATGTGAGTTTGTACGATTGTATGTAAAGGCACAAATCCCCCATGTAGCCTTTACCAGACTGTTGGGGCAAGTGCTGTTAGGGAGTACCTACAAAGGTAGGTACGGCACACGACAGGGTGCTGTGGCCAATGCCTACACCGGGGCCGCCTTTGTTTCCCCAGTGCTGATGTTTACACACTGCACCAGGTACTCATTTGAGGCTGAGTCAACCTAGGGGAGGGCCCAGGACCGGTTCAGATAATCGTCACCGGTGTTGGCCGGGAGCGGGAATCGAACTCGGGTCGCCACCACTCCCCCCACATGCACACAACACACACAGACACACACACACAGACACACACACACACAGACACACACACACACACAGACACACACAGACACACACACACACACGTGTATCCCCCCCCCACCACCGCACCTGCGTAGTCGCTGCCTCCACGCTCGTGCCCTCCCCCTGCGCGTGGTCCGTGCCCTGGGGGGGCGAGGATCCGGGCTGCTCGTGGGGGGACGTGGGCTGCTCGTTCTCGTCCGTGGGGGCCTCGGACGGCACCACGGGGCCCGAGGTCATGGGGCCCGAGGTCACGGGGCCCGAGGTCACGGGGCCCGAGGTCACGGGGCCCGAGGTCACGGGGTCCGAGGTCACGGGGCCTGAGGTCACGGGGCCCGAGGTCACGGACGCTGATTCGGTGTCCGTCGTCGTGGCGCCTGGCGGTGGAGACGGAGGCGACAAAAAACTTGGCGATGACAACGACAACAACAACGACAACAACAACAACAACGACAACAACAACAACAACGACAACAACGACAACAACAACGACAACAACAACAACGACAATAACAACGACAACAACAACGACAACAACAACCACAAGAACAACCACAACAACCACAACAACAACCACAACAACCACAACAACCACAACAACGACAACAACAACAACGACAACAACAACGACAACAACAACCACAAGAACAACCACAACAACCACAACAACAACCACAACAACCACAACAACAACAACCACAACAACCACAACAACGACAACAACAACAACAACGACAACAACAACAACGACCACAACAACGACAACAACAACGACGACAACAACAACGACAACAACAACAATGACAACGACCACAACAACAACGACCACAACAACAACGACCACAACAACAACGACAACAACGACCACGACGACAACGACAACAACGACTACAACGACAACAACGACAACAACAACGACCACAACAACGACAACAACAACGACGACAACGACAACAACGACAACAACAACCACAACAACAACCACAACAACAACGACAACAACAACAACGACAACAACAACAACAACGACAACAACAACAACAACAACGATTGCGGTGTTTTTTTTCCTCTTCGCCTCCGCAGGCTCACCGAGTCTCGTGACTCATTGTCCAGGAGGGTCCTGCCCGAACCTTCCGCCCTTGTTCTATCACGTGGCCCCCGATCGACGATTTGCTACGGACATGTTCCAGCTGAGAGTAACTTGCGGTGTGCAATTATTTAAAAAAACTCGTCACATCTAAACTATACAAACTATTCAAAACTAAACTATTTAACACGTAGGCTTTCGCAACACAATGTCATCCGTGTTATAGTTTTTTTTGGGTTAGATCGCGTAAATATATAAATGTGTCGTTACACCCACTATGCTGTACTAGCAACGAATTGGCCACGTTCTGTTTACGGGACAAACCCTTACGCACTGGCTGTGTGTCGGGTGGTGGTGGCGGGTTTAACGTCACATTTAGATTTTCGCGATCAAACCCAAACAACCTATGATATAAACTAAACTATGTTGTATTTGACCAGGTAAGGGCCCCTCCGTCAGTCCCGCCCACTCTTACATAGCCACGCCCACGCCACCGCTAGCGTCCGCCCACGCTTGAGTGTGGCCACCGACACAGCACCCCCCTGCCCCTACACGTGCGGCTGATGGCCGTACAGCATCAACCTGCGTGCCTCGTGCGGTAATTCATGACTGCGGGGCCCAACGCGGCCCCTGGTGGCCTTTAGTGCGGCCCCTGCAGAACGTGGTGGCCCATGACAGTAGGCCAATGGTGAACACACCCATCACTACCACCACCATCACTACCAGCAGCACCACCACCAGCACCACCATCACCACTACCACTACCACCACTACCACTACCACCACCACCATCACCACTACCACCACCATCACCACCATCACCACTACCACCATCACCACTACCACCACCATCACCACTACCACCACCACCATCACCACTACCACCACCATCACCACCACCATCACCACTACCACCACCATCGTCGTCGCTGTGCTGTCAAATCCCTCACGATGGTTTCTAATGTGCGGCAGGGTGAGGATCACTGGGCCAGTGCGTGGTAGCTCTGCAGCCTGCGGTGTGTCTGCTGTTGATGGTTAACAAATGGGACGCAACGCGATGTTGTTGACGTATTGGTGGTGGTCGTGGTGGTGGGTAGATAATGAGTGAGCGGATGACGCCTTGTCTCGCGAGCACAGATGTTTTAATTGGTGTGTTTTTATTTTTGCATTCTCTATTATCCACCAATTCTATTCCGTCCGCGCTATCGGTTTCATGTCAAGCAGAAGGCACACGGACAGAGACACACGGACGGAGACACGCGCACGGAGACACACGGACAGAGACACGCGTACGAAGACACGTACACACAAATACAAAGGATTTTTTCCACCCCGTATAGACTTAACAGACTGTAGGGGCAAGTGCTGTTAGCGCAGTGCGCTAACAGCTACACTTCCGCTACACACACGCACAGTCACACACGCACCACACACAGACACACACACACAGACAGACGCATACAGAGAGTCGCACACGCACCACACATAGACACACACAGACGCAGACAGTCACACAGGCACAACACACAGACACACACAGACAGACGCAGACACAGAGTCACACACACACAACACACAGACACACACAGACAGTCACACACGCACAACACACAGAGACACACAGACAGACGCAGACACAGAGTCACACACAGACACACACAGACAGACGCGGACAGAGTCACACACGCACAACATACAGACACACACAGACAGACAGTCGCAGACACAGAGTCACACACGCACACCACAGCGTGAGCGTGAGAGAGTGACAGAGAGAGAGAGAGGCGGGGGGGGTATCAGCCTGGCGTGAACTCGCTGGGAACTGCGCGTCACATTCCTTCGCCATGAGCCTCCTTGCTTCTCACACGAAGGGCGCCAGACGCCCGACCCTGCACCGCAGGAACGGGAACCACCACCGTCTCCCCCACACCCACGGTGCCGCAACGGGAGATCGGGACGGACCGAATTGGTGCTGGGAACGCAGCGAACTTGGCCTGCGTTCACCCAGGAAGAGCTTCCACGGTTGATCGGATTCCTCCAGTCTAAATAAATATTGTAATTCTGAATCTCACCACCAGCCGTCCGTTCGTTTTTTTTTGTTTTCGAAACCAGCCTTTAAAAAAAATGCGCAACGCCTCATTTTCCACATCTGTCTATCCACATTGAAATAACACAAATATATAATGAGGTTTTTTTTTTTACATTCTATCAGCCTTCTGGAAGTGCATATCATCTTCAGCATCCACGCAAAGCTCCTGGCCGGTTTCGATCAATGAGCGTCTCAACGTCGAGTCAGCAGTGGCTTGATGAGCCACCTCCGTGCTGCTGAACTTGCCAGATTGCTTTCGGGGGGCCAAGGGGGATACCCAGTGAACATGACAACGTTAGGTCGACCGTGGGCCGACCTTGTGCGCGTGGGTTAGAACTGTTGAACCAAGCAAGGACCAATCTTGATCCAACGTTTCGCGTTGACTCACATCATCGTGACTCGGAAGGCCGACATCGCTTGCCTAGAACAAAAATCCGTCTGAATGATGTTAGTCAGTGACGATTAACTGAGAACTCCTGGGGCCCTCCCCTAGGTAGACTCAGCCTCAAATGAGTTCCTGGGGAGATGTGTGTAAACATCCTCACCAGGGAGACAAAGGCGGCCGGGCGCGGTGCTGGTTATCCATCCCCTCGTGTGACTTTACGGCCTTCATAGGTACCACTCGCTAGCAGCACTTGCCCCAATAGACTGGTCAAGGCTAAATGGGGGATCTTTGTCTCTGCGTTGTGTTTTTTGAAAAGCTATCTCCGCGTGTTTTTTTTATATTTAATCGAGCCACGATTTATTATTTTATAATAGTCCTTGTTTACGCTGGGCAAGCAGAGAAAGAACGAGCAGAGAAACTTTGTAAGAAGGGAAAATATACACGGAAAATATACACGGCTCACGGACATCACCCACCCACGCCCCCCCCCCCCCCACGGCGCTTTCCAAACCCCCTTCTGCACAGCCACTGGGCATGCGAATTCGGGTGCAGACGGCGATGGAAATAATAACAATTATGAAGGACCATTGCCTAAAACGTCGCCTATTATATTTATACTTATTTTCAGACAACAGTTTTGTAGTTGACGAATGTGAGGATCAGTCTGACAGTAGAATTTGATGATGACGATGTGAGCGTTGGTGGATGGTGAACATATCATTGATGGATGATGATGCTAAGGATGTTTAAAGTTTATCCCCCAAAAAATGAAACACATTCATCAAGTTGTTTGTTGTTGTTGATTGTGCACCACTGCAGCAGCATCACCAAAGAATGTTTAATAAAAAATGTTTTACTGCGCCTCCATCACACGGTATCCCCCTCCTCGCTCTCGCAGAGAGAGGGAGAGGTCGACTCAGAGAGAGGGAGGACGACTCAGAGAGAGGACGACTCAGAGAGAGAGGACGACTCAGAGAGAGAGAGGACGACTCAGAGAGAGGGAGGACGACTCAGAGAGAGGGAGGACGACTCAGAGAGAGAGGACGACTCAGAGAGAGGACGACTCAGAGAGAGGACGACTCAAAGAGAGAGAGGACGACTCAGAGAGAGAGGACGACTCAGAGAGAGAGAACGACTCAGAGAGAGGACGACTCAGAGAGAGGACGACTCAGAGAGAGAGAACGACTCAGAGAGAGGACGACTCAGAGAGAGAACGACTCAGAGAGAGAGGACGACTCAGAGAGAGAGGATGACTCAGAGAGAGAGGACGACTCAGAGAGAGAGGACGACTCAGAGAGAGAGAGGACGACTCAGAGAGAGAACGACTCAGAGAGAGAGAGGACGACTCAGAGAGAGAGGACGACTCAGAGAGAGAGGACGACTCAGAGAGAGAGAACGACTCAGAGAGAGGGAGGACTTCTCAGAGAGAGAGAACGACTCAGAGAGAGAGGACGACTCAGAAACGCTCGAAGGAAGTTATTCCTTCTGCCGACAATGTTCTGTATGTTGAACTTCTTTCGCACCGTACATAACCAGCCGTACTAATCGGATGTGCAGGGAAAGGACAGTAAACTGAACACAAGAAGCAGTTCCTACACCAAGGTAGCTGAGCAGCGTTCAGGGACAATTCAGGAGGGAGAACATTTTTGAAAATCCGTGGGCATGAAGAGGCGCAAACTCTTAACTATTTTTTGTTACCAAAACTATTTTTTATTTTACCAGGTAAGGCCCACTGAGCTCTATAACTCTTTTTCAGAAGCGACCTGGCCGCAGATGATAGCCCAACGAAGCGGCTTATCGCGTGGGAATTGATAGCAGCCAAATTACTCGAAATGTACGATCGTTCTGGATGTGGAGGGAAAAACCCGGAGACAAAATACACGTGACCACGGGGGGGGGGGGGGGGGGGGGGGAGACACACGCAAACTCCAAAATATACAGCAGCAGTCGTTAGGGTCGGGATCGAACCCTACGACCTCCTGCATACCGGGCGAGAGAGTCAACATCTCTCCGCCGCGGCTTCCGCGAAGACGTTCAGTTTTTTTCACGCGGATGGGTCACCTGATCCGAACTCATCGGAGTCATCTTCGTCGTCCTTGTCCGACTGGCCGTCAACCCCGGAGCCCTCGTCGTCGATGAAGATGTCCGAGGCCTGGGCCGACGCCGCCTCCTGTTAAGCCACAAACAGAAACCACACGGGCGCAGGCAACGGGGGGTTCAGGACGGAGAGCGCGAGTTTTGGATTCGGTGGCACGCTTCGCGGAGCGGCGATGTGTCCACGGGTGAAGAGGGGGGAAAGACGGCACAACGCTCACGGTGGAACAAGGGGGGGTGGGTGTGGGGGGGGGCTGGCTGGCTGAGAGACTGCGCAAAGAAGAGTGGAGAGAGATAGAGATGGAGAGATGGAGAGAGAGATGGGGAGAGAGGCAAGCGCGTGCGTGCTTGTAATTCGACAGAAAGCGTAAAGAGGAGGCAGCTGTTTAAGAAAGAGGAGCCGCTGTTTGAAGAGAATGTGCGCCTCCTGAAAGAGTCATGAGACCCGTCGGGGCTTGGTCCCGGGCAGACCCAGCGTGATAATACACAAATGTGTAATAGAATGCAATCAAAATGTGTTGGTTGGATACCAGTCTCTGATGTGTATTTGTCGAGAGGAGCGGTCAAATTGCGAGTGGCGTGCGCTGGCTTCGCCGTTGGCTACGCGCCGAGCGATTTCAGTCCAAGGCACGGGACATGCACACGAGGGCACCGACACAGACGAGTCTCTTGCAGCCTGAACCGACTGTTGGGAGGGCAAGTGCTGCTGGCGAGCGCCTCATGAAGGCCGGCAAGGCACACATGGGGTCGGGCGGCCGGCAGCATCTCCGGCCGCCTTTGTCTCCCCGATGTTTACACACCGCCACCAGGGACGAAAAATAGACCTGGGGTGTCACGCAGCGAGGAGCGCCTCGTGACCGTCAACAACGTCAGCCATCGTCTATCCACTGATCATCATCGTGACCATCAACAACGTCAGCCAACGTCTATCCACTGATCATCATCGTGACCATCAACAACGTCAGCCAACGTCTATCCACTGATCATCATCGTGACCATCAACAACGTCAGCCATCGTCTATCCACTGATCATCATCGTGACCATCACCAACATGAGCTATCGTCTATCCACTGTTGGACGACGTCCGCCCCCCCCCCCCCACCCTCTGCCCCCCAATCCATCGTGCCGCTGCACGCGAGAAGCTCAAACGCATGGCCGCGCCATCAAGGTCGCGTTCCTCCGCCTCCGTTCGGGTGCCAGGTCCGTCACCAGTCTCGGCCATTCGGCGATCGTTCCACCGCGAGATGTTGCCGATTCCCCAAGGCCATTCTCACTCGAGACGTCGCCGGTCAACATGACGGACAAACGTTTGGCCCTGCACGTGATCACTCCGCGAATGTGAAATGGGTTATCAATGGAATCTGGAGCATACGGACACGCAACCTCGGTCTCGATAAAACAAAATAAAATCGGGTTCGTGGCGCATGTCGGGTAATGACTGCGCCACTGCTCCTCCCCACGTTCCCACACAGACAAAGATCCCCCGTATAGCCTAAACAGATTGTTGAGACAAGTGCTGTACACACACACACACACAAAAAATACATACATTAATACACACACCCATACAAAGACAAATAGCCCCCGTATAGTCTTAACAGACTGTTGGGGCAAGTGCTGTTAGCGAGCACCTATGAAGGCCGGCACGGCACACGAGGAGATGGGTAGCCAGCACCACGCCCGGCCGCCTTTGTCTCCCCAGTGACGATGTTTACACACCGCGCCAGGGACTCATTTGAGGCCGAGTCGACATGGGGGAGACCCAGGACCGGTTCAGGTAGAGAGGGAATCGGCGGCTGGGTTCGTAGCGCAGCACGCTAACCGCTACACTACACAAAGACAAAGATCCCCCATATAGCCTTAACAGACTATAGGGGCAAGTGCTGTTAACGAGCACCTATGAAGGCCGGAACGGTACACGAGGGGGTGGGTGGCCAGCACCACGCCCGACCGCCTTTGTTTCCCTAGTGGCAGTGTTTACACACCGCACCAGGTACTCATTTGAGGCTGAGTCGACCTAGGAGAGGCCCGGGACCGGTTCAGATAATCTTCACTGGTGTTGACCGTGAGCGGGAATCGAACCCGGGTCGCCAGGTTCATAGCGCAGCGCGCTAACCGCTACACACACACTTTCATACATACACATGCATACATACATACACATACATACATACACACACATTCATACACACACATACATAAATACCCACATTTAAACACACACACATGCATACACAAACATACATTCATACACACATACATACACACATTCATACGAACACATACATATATACATATACACTCAATCATACACACTAATACACAGATTCACAAACACACATTCTCACACGCGCGCAGTTCTTTACCTGTAACAGGGCTCGCTACACCCACTTCAACAAACACACCACCCACACGACGCATATTGCTCAAGCAAAAAAAAGATCTGTATTGGCAACCCCCCCCCTCCCCCCCCCCCCCCCAACATTTATTTTAATAGTTTTCATTACCAGTTCACAAACACAAACCGGATCCGCTCATAGCCGCGGTCCATGAAGAGCCACGTGTGTTCGTTCATGCGCTGTGTATTTAAACAACAACAAAAAAAACCTCTCTCCCCCGTGTCCCGCGGCTCCTGCGTACACAACCAGCAGAGGAATTCCCTTTCACGCCCCAGGGCCGTTTGCGTCTGTAGCCCCTCTGTGTCCCCTGTTCAATCACGCGCTCGCATCTCGCCCGTAAGTGCACCTGCAACAGAGTCGATATTCCACACGATATTATTATTATTTTCTTTGGTGTAGGTTGTATTCATCTGGTTTCTGTGTATTTATACCGGTTATAGTCCATTGTCAAGCCACTGCGGGATGGATGATGGTTCGCACACTCGCCCATCTATGGGCGGGCATCGTTTGACCATACTTCACCCCACCGGTTCGGAAAGTGTGGGTGTCTGCGCGTAACGTGCGGCTGGCAACGCTCTGCGCTACGAACCCGGCGTCTACGAGTTCGATTCCCGCTCAGGGCCACGAACACCAGTGACGAGTATCTGAACCGGTCGTGGGACTCCCCGTGGTCGACTCGGCCTCAAATGAGTACAGTGTAATCATCGCCACTGGGGAGACAAAGGCGGCCGGGCGTCGTTCCGACCACGCCATTCCCTCGTGTGCCGCGCCGGCTTTCAAAGCTGCTCGTTAGCAGCACTTGCCCCAACAGTCTGTCAAGGCTATGCGCGGTGGGGGGGGGTCTTTGTATTTGTCTTGCTGAAGGGTGGGCAGGCAAGCAAGGGCAGGACCAGTTCAGGTGACGATCACTCACCAACTCCCCCCCCCCGACTGATGCGACCTCGCCATTGCCGCGAGTCAACTCAGGTGACCCGGCTGCATTTGGCAGTGCCCCCCCCCTCACCCATTTGCAACCTCCGCCCATAAAATAAATACATATATTGGGTGGGGGGGGGGGGGTGGCGCGCTGCTGACGTGTCGGGAAATGACCCTTTGGTTAAGAGCAGAGAGAAGGGAGGGTGGGGGTGGGCAGAGGTGAGGGTGGGTGGGGTGGGCAGAGGTGAGGGTGGGCAGTGGTGAGGGTGGGTGGGGTGGGCAGTGGTGAGGGTGGGTGGGGTGGGTTGGGTGGGCAGAGAGGGGGGTGGGGTGGGTTGGGCAGAGGTGAGGGTGGGTGGGAGTGGGCAGAGATGAGGGTGGGTGGGAGTGGGCAGAGATGAGGGTGGGTGGGGTGGGCAGAGGTGAGGGTGGGGTTGGGTGGGCAGAGGTGAGGGTGGGGTTGGGTGGGCAGTGGTGAGGGTGGGTGGGGGTGGGCAGAGGTGAGGGTGGCTGTCTGGCTGGTAGCGGAGGTTGCATCGTACACTCCGTCGGGTTCTGAGCAAACCGAGGTGACACTTCAATGGAGTTGGTCAGCGGTAGGCGGGCGGCATCCAGGACCGGTTGCGACATCGATCGCCACTGACGCTCGCCGTGGCCGGGAATCGAACTCAGGCGGCGGCGCCTCCACAGCGCAGTGCGCTAACCACCGCGCCACCGCTCCCGATGTCACCGATCGATCGTCGGGTTCAGCCGTCAAGGAAAAAAAAAGACTCTTAACTTCGCTCCCTTCTGGAATTATTTTCACTCCACCTTTCAGGAGTCGCTCTCGTTTCCACACGATCCCGCTTCCCTCCTGCACGCGTGCACGTTGAGCCAAGCCGCGCTAATCGGGGGTGCGAGAGGGCAGGGATAAATAAACGCAACGGGCAAAGCAGTTCGAAAGGAAAAGCGTGTTCTAGCAGATGCCTGCAATTGTTGATCTCACCAAATGTGAAATCAAAGATTCATCAATTTAACATTGACTTAAAGCTTTCGTGACTTATCTTGATTTGAAGCTTTCGTGACTGCAGGAATCCATACTCTTTGGTCCTTTCGGTAAAGTCACGTGGGTATAAAAATAAAATAAATCACGACGTTTCGATCGCAACACAAAGCGGTCGTCCTAAGGCAGAAAATAAATAATCCAGCAGTGGAACTGCTGAGCCAGCGAGAGAGCAGCTACAACAACACGAGGTTGTAGTTGTGTGCAGTAATTCGTATTCTTTTGGGTCTTTCGGTAAAATCACGTAGATAGCTTCAAAGAAAATAACAAAAAACTACGACGTTTCGAGCACAACACAAGCGATCGTCATCATCGTCCACATGATGACAGTCGCTTGTGTTGTGATCGAAACGTCGTAATTTTTTTGGGTTATTTTCTTTGAACCTTTCTACGTGACTTTACCGAAATCTTCAAGTCGCCTCGCGAGCCTTCGAACGCCTCCGGCAAATGTCCACCGGCCGGCATCCGTCCATCGATCCGCGCAGCGCGGATCGATGGCATCGCGATCAACAAACCCAGGGGGTGGTGCCGAGACAACGGCCACGCTTCAAATAAAACGCTGACGACTGCGTCCGTCTCCCCAAACCGACCACGCCGCTGCCCCCAACCCTTTCCCCGGAGAGCGTCCGATTCAAAACGTGAGGTTATCGACGCGGGGAAGGGAGGGAGCCTGGGGAAGGAGGGAGGGAGCCTGTGGGGGTGGGGGGGGGCTGAGTAGG